ATCACCTAGGAGTGTTTAATTATATGGTAAGCATCCCACCTTACACAAATGGCTTCGATTTTAATATGTGATGTAAATTAAAGTGCAGGATTTATAAAAATGGGCAGGAGATACAGTTTGAAACACTGCCCTCGCTAACGCTGCATTTGATGATGGAGGAGACAAGCATTTCCAGGTCTCCTGTTAAGCAGAGCTGCACAACGGCCATTAGGGCAGGTCCAGAGCACTTAGCTGCCATCGTTGCCCTCACTCAGTCCCCATTGCAGTGATGGGAAATGGGTCTCAGAGAGGCAGTGAAACTTACCAGTGACCCAGCTAAGAGGTGTCCAGGCAGGAGTCAAAGCCACCTTTGCTTGACTCCAGTGCCCTTGCTCCTTCCACTGCAGCCCCCACGCCTCCTCCAGGAAGCCTGGATGGAGATAATAGCCCTCCACAACGCATGCACAGAGGAGGCCTAGAACGCTGCTTTCCAGTCGCATGCACAGTAGCAGGGGGACGGACAGGGTCCAAGAACAGTACACTACACCTTGCTTCTCACAAGCCCTGAACTCTGCCCTTGCAACAGGCTGTGTGCCTCCTTGCCTCTGCCAGCGGCTCCTCTTCCCCACAGCCCAGCCTGCCGCACTCCCAGGGGCCTCCAAGAGCAGTGTTTAGGGTAGAGGACAGCCCTAACTCTACCATCACCACCTCCCTGACACTGGGCTGACGGAGACTCCATCCCAGCCCCAGCTCTGCCTAGATGTCAAATCAGACTTTCTAAGGCTACCAGTCCATGGCCAGCCACCGTGCTTTGGTCAGGGAGACCTAGAACAAAAGGCCACACAGTCCTGGTGAGGGGAAGGCCTGCCTAGCCTCAGAGAAAGGGGCTGCTGATCAGAGCCCCACTGGGAGGCCAGGTCTATAAAGGCTACCTTCCAATTTCTCTCCTTGGCCTTGGCTTTCAAAAGATGCTTAATCAGCTGGCCTTGGTTTCAAATCTCAGCAATGCCATTTATAATCTGTCCGCTTGGAAAGTTCACTGAGGGCCTCTGACCTCAGTTTCCCAATGCACGAAGTGGGGAGATTTAAGCGATGCTGGTTCCTTGGAAAGTGGCTCAGATGCCCCACCCCCACGTTCCCACGCCGTCCTTCCCCTCTCCCACAACCTGAGCTCTCTTACTCTGCTAATGACCTCCAGCCCCACCTTCCCGCCCATCCTGAAGACACAAGACTGGCCAGCTGTGCAGAATTCGCGAAGACTCCTTGTGGAAATCGCCAGGAATCCTACACACCCTACCAACACATGTGGCCCCAGGGAAGGTGAGGGGGAGCCTCTGAACTGCGGCAGCGGCAGCGGCAGCGGGCGAGGTGAGACCCCGGTCCCCGGGGGCGTGTGAGGCTGCGCCTGCTGGTGCCCGCCAGGGGGCGCTCTGCACCAAGCGGAACTCCTGGCGGGCGTCCACCCTCTGGCGGGCCTGCGGCAGCGTCTCCTGGCAGAGGTTAGCCTGGCGGGGCAAGGCTTCCTCAGGCGGGGCAGCCGCAAGCTCTTAGCAGGCCAAGGACGGCCATCAACGCAGCGTCCCCAGAGGCACCGAGGAGCCAGGGAGCCTGCATCTGACTGATAATGTTGGGCCGGGGCAGCTTCCTCCTGGTCCTGCCCGCCTTCCCTGCCCGCTCGTCACATGGGGGGGCCGGGGGCAGGGCCAAGGCCACGGCCACGGCCACGGGGTGAGCAGCGGGGGCAGGGAGCCCAAGCCCTCCCTCCAGGCGGTGCCCGAGGAAGGATCCCAAGCAGGCGCCAGGGTGGCGGAGACGGAGGTGTACGGCCCGGGTACCAGGTGAGCAGACCCCAGCGGGCAGCACCCAGGCGGCTTTCCCGGACATCTGCCTGCCGGGGCCCGGATGCCCGCCGGGTGATGGGTGCTGGTTCGCACGGCTCACATGCAGGCGCAGCCTCCGGGCTGCAGGGCTTGAGCGAGGGGCCCACAAGGTGAACGCGTGCCGAGGCCGGTGCAGGACAGCGGGGCCTTTCGGCCACCCTGGAGGATGGGGTAGCAGCGAGTGCCCGAACACCGTGGGGTTGAATGTTCCCCCTCCACCACGTTAAATTGTGATGGGCTGACTCACAAGTCCACTGTAATATTCACCTCAGCGAACTGTCAGGCTAATGTATCTGCTCCACAGTCAGCGCCTACTGAGTGCAGGTCGTCGTTATTAATAACGTTTGCCAGTGGGGGCATGCCCTGTGCAGGGCATACTGGCCCGAGTCCAGGAGAACCTGGTACTTCCAGCACCCTCTCCCACGATGAGCGGGCTGGCTGTGTGGCCGGTGCCAACCAAACCGCTCCTGGCTGAGTCATCAGGATTGCCTTGTGCGGTGCTGCTTGGGGGGGGGTGGGGGGAGGTAGGGCAGTGCCCCAGCTGTACTGAGCTTACCTGGGATGTGGCCTGCCCTGGAACACTGCTGCCAAGAATGATGGGTGAGGGAAAGGCAAGGGCTAGGCCAGGTGCTTGGAGAGCAGTTCTCCCGTCCTCTCTGCCCCTGAGATTGCTTCCCCTCTCCCCGTCGCTGGCAGGCAAGGCCCGCCTTATCTGCCCTTCCACCCATGTTTCCCCCAAAGCAAACACCTTGTCATCCTCACTGTCCTCCTGGTATAATCATGCTACACACACACACACACACACACACACAGTCAGCCTCATCTATTCTATCCCTACAGCAATCTGCAGTGGTCCCTGTATTTGGAGTCCCTCTCCCCACATTGGTCACAGTGCCCTGGCATGTACTGTTGCTCTATCTCTTTCCTATACCAGCCCAGGTACCGTGTGAAAGCCAAGTCCACCCAGCTCCTGGGATGAGACCATGTTGGTTTAGCCAATATGTACATCTCATTCCCCAACCATCAGGACTGGTTCAAGGATGGATTTGGTTGCCCAGTAAAGGCCATGAGGCAAGAGATGTCTGGGGAAGTAGGAAAGGGAAGCTTCCCAGCATTTCAAAGAGAGACACCAGAAGGTATGTTTTCTCTTCCTGTTAGACGTGAAAGAGAAAATATTAGTTCCTAAAGCTGGTGTCCAGCATTTTTTAATAATTAGGAGACCTTTCCTAATTGGCATGAGTGAAACAGATACCCCAGGAAAAAAAGAGGGGAACTTGAAGTTGGGAGGCAACCAGATTTGGATGACATTATCAAGGTGCTGGATCCAACCAGGCCTGAAGTCTATTTTATAAGGCCTTTCCCTCTAAAGGAGCCAATAAATCTGCCCTTATTTTTTAAGCCAATTTTAACTGATGTTTTAGTTGCCATCAACTATAAGTTTCTTACTTGATTTTCTTTTGACCAAAGATAAAATGGATACTCAGAAGGTATAAATATAAGGTTGCCGGATAAAATAAAGCACACTCAATTACATCTGAATTTCAGACCAACAATGAATACCTTTAATATTACAAAGGTAGATATTATGTCCTATGCAATATTTGGAACCCACTTACCCTAAAAATATAACTGGGCATTCTGTATTTTTATTTGCTAAATCTGGTAACCCTATTTCAGTAGCGTGTCCAAATTCATACTACTAGAAAAAACTGGACACACCACCAGAGTTTTTAATCTGAAGCTCCTATTAACACCAGGTCATGCAGAGGGCTTCTTACTGTCCCTCTCTCTTCATTCTCCTCCATCCCCCTCCCAGTCCTGTGTGCTAAGAGAGTACAGAGAAATGTCACTCTGGGTCCCTAAGGGTCTCCGAGGTAGGTCCCAGCTCCAGAGTTCCCTGCTTGCCACTCTGCTTCTCCAGCTCCTTGGCTGGGCTCCACCCCAGCCTCAGGTTTGGGGCTTTGCTGCTCTCTTCAAGCAGTGTGGCTTCTGTGGCTGCTAGCTGCCACCAGTTACTCGCAATAGGCACCACTTGGCAATTCCTCTGTACAGTCCCCATGCGCCCCGTAGAGCATGACCGTGGCTGGAGCTGTCCACAGATGGCCAGAACTGGACATTAGGACACTGCCCCGATGCAGCCTCCTGACAGGGCTGCACTGCAGCCCCCGGCCCTGCCTCCACCTCCTGTGTCCGCGATGGCCTGAATCCCTGCTTTCCTGCATCCTCCGGGCAGAAGGGATCTGCCCACAGTGAATGCTAGCCATGCTTGTTTTATCTGCATGACAAGGATCGGTTCTATGATCACAAGCACGACACAAGTGCAGTCCTGCAGAGAAGGGGAGTGAAGGTAACAAGAAGGGGATTAGGAAGAACATTCTAGGAGTAGTTGTCCTTCTAGGGGTTGCTCCTTGCCTCTGTAAAATCCGGATGTATGTAAATGGGTTAACGCGGCCCCTTGGGACTGCCTTTCCCTGAGAGTGAGACCGCTATGGCAATGATGTTGATGGCTGCCTAAATGTCATTTGGCTGTTTCATGATTGGGATTTTCTTCTCGATTTTCCACAACTGTAAACTGTGCAGTATTGGTACTGAACAAAAACTGAACAAAAGTACAAGGCTGAGGATCTGCTACTGGGTGCTCTGGGGGCTTTGTGTGTGAAAGAATCACAGCTCCTTTTGAACCCAGGTCAGCTGATAGAAAAGATCAAGCAGAGTCTCTGAAGCGTGAAGGGCTTTGCCATTTTACAGCCATCATCTTGTTGATCCTCCGCCTGCCCTGAGGGGTACTTGTCAGTTATTGTTCCCACTTTACAGACTAGAGAACAACTAACACCCACAGGTCCCGTGACTCGCCCAAGGCCATTCCCAGATCCCTGGGTACACTTGTGTTTAAGGGACTAATTCCTCACAGCAAGGGTTCTTGTTTGAAATCCAAGAAAACACCAGATAAAGGGCATTCTAAATATATTTCTTTTCTATAGATGCTGATCTCCTGTTACTGGAAAACAGGAATTAGCTTGTCTGCTTGAGGATGTGGTTGGTTCTTTATAAAAAGGATATACAAGAAATTTGCACATAGACTGCCAGCTTCATTATGCTGCCGGCAGCTTCCAGCAAAAGAAGAACATTTGCAGCCAGATATTTCGGTAAGAATTTTATTTCATTCTATGTGGAGTATGATTACCTTTGCTCTGAGCTTCTTGCTTGAGAGATGGGGGTCACTTGAGGCTGAGAGATGGGGTGACTCGAGGAGCTATCTCGGTCTTGTGGGCTGGAAGGATCTGGGGGCATCTGTGGTCACGGGCTAGATACCGGCTGATGGCACAGCCCTCATCCCTGAACTTGGGAGCTGTTCTGAGTCTCCCGGAAACACAGAGCTTTCAACATGACCATGATTGTTGGAGGGATTTGACTCCAGTGACTCAGGGCTCTGATGACATTCAGAGTCTGTAAGGAGGACGGTGCCCAAAGACGGAGGTGGCAAGAGGCAGGTCCTTCACAGGGAAGGCTGTGCGTCCTGCTTGGGAGCAGCCCAGCCCAGCAGTTAATTCAGAAACAATGAGGATGGTCCAGGAGCCCCTGTTAAAGTGGCAGGAGGTAACTTAGGCCAAGTGGGCAACCCGCAGGGTGGGCCACATGCAGGTGCTGTCGTGCAGATCACACGTGTGGTCTTGGGGGAATCACACAGGTGCTGGCTGGGTGGCTCTGCAATGGCGTTCCGTGTTCTCTGGACCCAGACACCTTCAGATGATGACTGAAATTCCAGATACTAGAGAAAGAAATGCCGACAGTGGTATTCAACCTAGGTCGACGTTAGAATCATGAGCTTTTAAAAATCTGCAGGTATTTTTAAACACTTGGAGACTGGTCTGGAGTGGGCCCCAGACATCAGCATAGTTTTCAATTCCCAGGTAAACCTCATGAGCAGCCAGCGTCAAGGAGCCACCAGACCGAAGCTCAGGAGGCCTGAGAGCCTGTACACAGCAGCTCTTGCTGTGGTCTGGGTGGATATTTATAAGGATGAGGAGTCAAGTTCTGTGGCCACAAAGCCAGGTCACCTGAATCTGACTCTGGGCTGGACGCGAGCTACGGGACACTTCTCATAATGGTTAACATCTTGGATCTCCCTTTCTGCAATAGGGGTGGTGGTGGGGAGCTGAAATTAGCCTTTCATCCTGTTCAGTTCTAATGCATTAGCGGGCTGTAAAATCTCCAGTTTTTTTCCTCTCAGTGGGGTTTATAGCATCATCTGATTAGAAAGGAAAAGTCACTTGCTTCTGTGGAGGGTTCCGGTCCCCAGATTTTCACAGTATAGCAGATACCCACCCCCAGCTTCAGAGCACAGATGATAATTCTCTGGGGGGAAAAATGAGATAGTGCACGAGATACCTGAATTGAAAGAAGTTGATTGAACTAAATTTTTAATGGCAGTGAAATTCATATCACAAAATTCACCATTTTGAAGTGAAGAGTTAATTCAGTGGTGATTCGTCCATTCACGACATGGTATGACCATCACCACTCTCCAGTTCCAAAGGATTTTCGCGGCCCAAAAAGAAAACCCTATACCCGCTAAGCGGAAGCTCCCCAGCTACCCCAGCCCTGGCAGCCACTGATCCACTTTCTATCTCTAGGACTTCCCGATTCTGGATATTTCATATAAATGCCATCATATAACATGTGTCCTTTTGTGTCTGACATCTTCGGCTTAGAGTGATGTTTTTGAGACTGATCACATGGTAGCACATAGCAGTACTTCATTCCTTTAGACTTAATTAATTTTAAAATCATTATCTGATCACAAAACAGCTTGGCAGCTTTATAAAAAAGGACCAGCCATGCTGTTCCGTAGAAAGCTGCTGAAAAAGAGGAAAGTCAGGCAGTACAGAGGAAGCAGTTTCTTCTCCTCATCCTTGGTCTCTCTGGGTCCACCCTTCTGTCTCTCTCCCTTTCTGTTTCTCTTTCTGTCTCTTTGTCAGTCTCTCTCTCTCTCTCTCTCTCTCTCTCTCTCTTTCTCCTTCTCTCTCCCTCTCTCTGCCTTTCCCCCTTCTTTCTCCTCTCTCTCTCTCACCATAGATTCTGGAGAAGGTCATTGGGGGCTTTTAACTGAAATTAAATTGGGAGGTTGGGGGCAAATGGAAGGTTCTTTTGGGTTTAAATTGTGTTGCTGCACTTCACTTCTTCACTTTGCCCAGAGTTTCGTCAGGTCAAGGACCTGTCATATACCAGGAAGCCGGAGGTCAGCCAGTACTCTGGTCTCTCATTTGGGGAGACCTGTCACCCAGCCATAGGCACCACCCATGTAAGCGTTTGCATGATCCTGCCCATTCTCACCACGTGCAGCCTCTTTTCTTCCCACACAGCTGCCCACTGGTCTGCCCGGCTCTGTCCCACGGACTGGTGGATTCCCCTAGTTAGCTGACCTCCCCGTTATCCCCACAGCAGATCTGAATCACGGTGGGCAGAAAGATGGTAACCTCTGCCCATACTAAGCCAGAGAGTCCAGAAGGAAAGGGAAAGCTGCTATGAGTCCAGTCATCTCTTCAGGACCCCAGCTCCTTGGCCCACAAGCAAACCTTCCAGACCAAGGTCAGGGAGCAGCTTGGACTGGCCATCCTCTACCACACCCCTCCCCGGTGTCCTCCCAACTCTGGCTTTGCTCACTTGGTCTTTCTCTGGAACATCTCCTCTCCCCTCCCTGCTGTGGATGGCAGGGACATGAGGAAACCACAAGAACCCAGGTTGGGAGACGAGAAGCACTGGAAGAATAGGAGGCTCAGAGACAGGGGAACTGAAACCATAGGGAGGGAAGTGGTGGAGAAGAGATAGGTCGAAACCATGTCAGACTCTCTGTCATGGGCAGGAGGGAACTATTGAAAGTTATAAGCCTAGGACTGTTTGGATCAGTTTTATAGGACACTTGAAACATACAATATTATATGTCAACTCTATTTGCAATTTAAAAAAGAAAGAAAAATAGATCAGATCTGTGGTTCCTGGAGGTGGGGGCAGGGGGAGGGGGAATTGGGGGAATGTGGTCAAAATGTACAAATTTCCAGTTATAAGATAAACAAGGAATGAAGAGGGGTGGAATGTACAATGTGGTGACTGTAGTTAACACTGCTGTGTGATATATTTAGAAGTTAAGAGAGGAGATCCTAAGAGTTACCATCATAAGGGATGATTTTTGCTTCTTTTTGAAGCTACATGAGATGGCGGATGTTAACTAAATGGCAGGAATCCTTTCACAATAGATGTACATCACATTGTTATGCTGTACACCTTAAACCTATACAGGACTGAGTGCCAATTATATCCCAGTAAAACTGGAGAGAAAGAATTGCTTATAGGAAGAATGATGTGGCAGCAGGGTGTGAAGTCAGATCTCACCTCGATTCCTACAAAGGCATCCTTACTGGTCTTCCTGACCTTGGAAACCCATCCCTCTCTTCTTAATACTGCAGCTGGAATGGGGCTCTTAGATCCTAAATCCGATGGGGAGTGTCACTCGCTCAACATATGCTGGTGGATTCCCATGTCAGCACTCCATCTGACTCATCATTACCCATCATATCATCTCCATGTCCCCTCCTTGCTGAGCACCAGCAATTCTGGTGTCCTTGCTACTCAGATGTGCCAGATTTTTGCATGTGTTCTGCCCTCTCTCTGAAGTACCCTTCTGCCCAACATGCACATGACTCATGCACTGACCTCCTTCAAGCTTTCACCCAAATGTCATCTCCTTTCAAGGCTTTAACTGACCACCTACCTGTGTCCCAATAGGATAGGATATTCAGTGAGTCATGGGTCACCTGACCATCACAGTGACTCAAAGATCAAGGCTGATGAAACAATCATCTCACGTGGTGCAGGTGGCCCAGGCCAGGGGGTAAAGGGAGCGACTGAGCTCTAGAAAAGTCTCAGACCAGCAATGAAATCCTTGGTCTGGAAGTCCTGCATGTCACACTCATTGTCCAACTACCCATAAGGGATCCAGGAGGGTACTACCATGTGCCTAGAAAGGTGGACAGGCAGTATTTGGCTAATGGCAGTAATGACTGCACTGTTTGCAACCCACCCGACATTCCTCTCCTTTTCCCTGCTTCATTTTTCTTCACATCATTTGTTATTATCTCATATGTTTCTGTATTTAACAGCATTACTGAGGGGTAGGCTACGTAGGATAAAATTCACCCATTCTAAGTATACAAGTCAGTGATTTTTATATACATGTAGAGTTGCACAACCATCACCATGACCGAATTCTGGGACATCTCTATCACCCAGAATTGTTTCCTTGTGCACATTTGCAAATAATCCTTACTCCAGCCCCAGCCCAAGGAAACCATTGCTCTGCCTTTTGTCTTTGTAAATCTGCCTTTTCGAGACACTTTAAGGAAATGCAATTCTATATTATGTAGTCTTGTGCATGAGGATTCCTTCACTTAGCATAAGATTTTTGAGGTTCACTCATGCTCTTCTTATAACATGGTTTGTTCCTTCTTAGCTGAATGATACTCCTGTTGTATGGGTGTACATTATGTTTACCCACCTACCAGTCGATTTGTTGTTTTACGGCCTAGCATATGGCCTATCCTGAAGAAAGTTCCATATTACATGAAAGTAATGTATTTTCTGCACCCATTATTAGGGATGTCCTGTCCATGGCAGTTAGGTCACATTGGCTGATCACGTCATTCCAGCCTTCTATATCATGGCTGGTGTCCTGTCTAGTTGTTCTCTCCATTATTGAGACTGGGACATGGAAATCTCCAACCCTCGTTATCCGATTGTTTGCTGTCAGTGTTTGCCTCATTTATTTTGAAGCTCTCTCGAGTGTGTATAGATTTATAATTGTCACAGCTGCCTCGTGGCCTTGGTTGGGCAACCAGCCCATCCCTGCACCTGTCTCTCATGGCTCCTCACCCCTCACACTCACTCACAGGGAGGAGGGAAGGCAGGTATGTTAGTTTGCTCCAGCTGCCATAACATAGTACCACAGGCTGAGTGGCATAAATGACAGAAACTTATTTTCTCATAATTCTGTAGGCTACAAGTCTAAGATCAAGGTGTTGGCAAGCTTAGATCCGTCTGAGGCCTCTCACCGGAGCTTGCAGACGGCTGTCTTCTCCCCGTGTCTTCACAAGGTCTTCCCTTACGTGTGTGTGTGTGTCCTCATTTCTTCTAACCCTTTATGTTGGATTAGGACCCAACCTAATGACTTTGTTTTAACTGAAACGCCTCTTTAAAGACCCTGTGTCCAAATACAGTCACATTCTGAGGTGCTAGGGGTTAGGAATTCAATATATGAATTTGGGGCGGGGTGGGCGGATACAGTTTAGCCTGTAACATCAGGAAAGAGCCCTCTTTGGGTCCTGGGCTGTGAGCTGGCAGCCCTGAGGCACCTGTGCCCCCAGGAACAAGGAGGCTGGGGAGACACGGGGCAGAACCACTGGCAAATGTCTAGACAGAAGCTCTGCTAGACACACTGCCCACTGGGGAGCCAAGCGGAAGTCCACACTTACCCGCCTCCAGCGACAGAACCAAGTAGGGGCTGAGTCAGAGGCTTTCCTTAGAGAGCCATTTTCTTAAGATGATTTCTGTTTCGGCACATCTGTGAGAAGTGAATTGACCCTGAAAATGATTGCAAAATAGCAAACCGCAAAGAGAGCTCACAGCCTTTCTGCACTCTACAGTTCCTCCTCCCTTCCAGTCTCCTTCAATGCTGCCCAGCTTTGTGGAGGCAGAGCAGCTCCCCCTGTTGGCCAGTTAAGGAAGCTGAGATTCAGGAAGTTCCTTGACCTCCAAAGGCACACAGCCAGTGAATGGCAGAGGCGGACCCAGCCCAGACCTGAGCTGACCCATCTCTAGTGCTCATTCATAGCTACACCCCTGCCTTTAGGACATTGTCCACACCCCTGGCCACAGCCATCAAGTCCCCTGGAATGTGCCCGTCTGGTCTCTGTACTGGGTTAGTGGTACAAACTGGCTTCTCTCAACATGTTCGATGGTTGGCAGTATTACCTGCCAGATAGAACCTAGAAACAAGGGTAGGAGAAAGCAACATCCTGGTGACCTGGGAGGAAGATGAAGATGAACATGGGGACATAGTTGCTCATGGTTTTAACTTTCAGATAGCATCCTTAAATGTCATCTAAGAGTCAGGGCATCCTGAATCCAGCTTTGCTCAGTGTTCTGGGCAAATGGTCTTCCCTCCTCTACCCAGATCTCTGCTCCCTCCTCCACTTAGCCCCATGTCATGATCCAGTTTCTGTTAACTTAACAGTATACAGGGAAAATCAACCCTCCCACCTTGCTGCTGACATCGTTATCCCAATTCGGAACAGATTAGACTAGTCTTTAGAGAAAGCCAGGCATGGAGTGGATCCTAGGTTCACCACTTACTCTGATGGCTTATTCAAGTTATATAATCTCTTCATTTGGGTTCCTCACTATAAAAGGGAGACCTTGATAGGCCATATCACACAACCTTTATAAGGATTACACATCTAACAAAAAAATAGTTTTCAAGGAAGGGCACAGGGTAATTCCTAAAAGACTAAGACAAACCACTGGATTCTGTTGTTAATCTCTGGCTCTGAGCTGTTGCTTTTTTGAAAAGAAAACAGAATGATCAGTTTGTGCCTGATGGAAACTCTGTGTGGGGGCGCCAGGACCCTATACTTGGAGCCAGGCACCCTGTCTTATTTCTCCAGTATTCAGGGAATGCAAATCCAATACCAGTCAACTGAGGGTCTCAGAAAGTCAGACTGTCATCTGCTGATGAAAGCTAGCTGGGGCCATTAAAGGTGACAGGCCTGGGAAGTCCACTCAAGGATTCTCCAATGAAAGGTTGGTAGTTCATTTGGTCACTCAGCACACAATTATTGTGCCAGGCACTGTTCTAGGCATTGGGGATACAGCCAGTACCAAAACTGTTAAAAATACCTACTTCCTGGAGCTCATCCACCACTTGCTATAATCTAATGGTGGGATCTAAAGGAAGCTGCTCTTTGAAGTCTTTCATGTGGACCATGGGCCTCTGGGAGGTGAATCAGGATCCTCTAGGGACAGGAAGGTAGGAGGTGCAGTAGGAGTTGTTTGAAAAAGAATAGTCACTCTGCAGCAGCTGTGAAATTTGACATGGAAAAAGCTTAGAAATTGTCACTCCCACCCGTACAACAAGGAAGAATATAAATGAACTTAAAATCAATGACTTTTCTTAGACCCATCAGAAAATTGAGGTCACAGGGCAAACCACTACCTCAAATCTAAACATCCTGGGAATTTGAAAAATAACAGCCAAAATCAGTCTACCTGAAGCTGAAGCCACTAGAATCATATTCTGGTATGAACACTTAAATGCTAAATTTGACTAACTGCTGGAGGCTGAGTGTGGATTTGCCTGAGAGTGAGAGACTCCTAGAAGCCCAGAATTAGCAGGGCGGGGGAGAGGGGCACACTTTCATGAGTTTTACCTCCAGGAACTCTACCAGATACTCAAGATGAAGAGTCAAGAAAAATTCCTGTGTGTTTTGGAAAGGGAAAGTTAACCACTTAGAAATATGACCAGAATGCCCCCCATAAGAAAGCCCTGCCCTCCAAGTAACTTACCAGAGCCATAGCGACCTGGTAGAGGGGCAGTTCACCAACTCCAGCTTCCTCTAGACTTGCTCTCACCTAGGGAGAGGGGGAGAAAGGGGGGCCTATTTAGTAGGTCTGAGGGTCATATCCCAGAGACTCAGGCTCACAAAAATACTGATAATTGGACAAGATTATAAAATGCTTCTCCTCCTCACACCTTCCCAACACATTAGGAGGGCTCAAGTATAACCGTGCATTGCAACTGAAAGAGCTGTAAGACACAGGATCTATTTAGGAAGGAGTTCTTAGGGAAACCCAAAGACAGTAGAGAAGGAAAATACTAAGGAAGCTAGAAAAACTGTGGCCTCTGGCACCTACAGATATGATAAACGTTAATCGTAGCACAGCGCCCAGCCAAATTAACATAAAACCTCAAACTAAGATCTACTTATTTCTGTTTCTGTTGCCCAATACATTATGTATGGCTTCCAACCAAAAATTACAAAACATGCTTAAAAAGCAAGGAAAAGACCCCACATCCTAAAGAGATAAACTAAGCGTTAGATGGTTGCATATGTAAGGAGCTGGGAAGTCACCACTCTGTCCTAAGACCAGGAACCAGCTGAACAGATTGAAAAAATCAATAACTCTTCTAGAATCCGTAAGAGAAGGGAGGCCACAGGGCAAACTGCTACCTCCAGGATTGGAGACAGGCAAGCACAGGGAGTCACGATTACTACTGCAGAGATTTGCATGTGGAAGCCACCGTGGGAACCAGGGCAAGCATAGCAAAACCTGCAATGTAACTGATCAATTGCCAGAGGCTCAGTGTGGATAAGTGAGCATTAAGAACTTCAGGGGGGACCCAATCATAGGAGAGTCTCACCATATCTTGAGATTTACCACCAAGGGTTTGACCAGGTTCCCACAGTAAATATCAGCAGGAGGAGAGGAAAAGGAACCATTTTTGAAATACACCAGAATGCTCTGTTCTTTTTTTTTAAGTTTATTTATTTATTTTGAGAGAGAGAACAAGTGGGGGAAGAACAGAGAGAGAGAGGGAGAGAGAGAATCCCAAG